CAGGTTGGACCAGTTGATTTCAGCAGTGAACTCCAACTGATTTTACTCTAATATCTACAGAAAACTCTAGGATATAGGTATTTATCTCAGTCAAGAAGTGAAAAGTTCTCACCGAGAAATAAATAGATTGCATTCAGTTGTTCATCCATACTTTTACTGAACTATGAACAAAAGGGACAGAAAAACAAATGTTTTTGGGAGTGCTTTTTCAGCCCTTAACTCTGCCATATGGAAGGCCAAAATTCTTTGTGACTTTCTGAGTTTTATTAAGAGCTGTCAGAATAGTTGGAAACCTGGGCAGCTTCCTGATTCTGATACTGTTTGTCCCTGGGTGCTCCAGGGAAGTGTGGCAGAATTCCAGTAATACACAGATGTGACATAGTTTGTTCCTAGTGAAGGTCTCATTCCAGTCTCTAATAAAAAGCTACTGATTTAATACCTCAACCATGCAGAGTGAATTTTATCCCATCTGAAAAATAAATACATAAACAGCAATGTAAATTGGAAAGAAGCAACAGCACATAATATTACTCCCTACTCCCCCTATAATCCACAACATATTTGTCTCTGCAGCATTCTGCCTACTGACAGTGATTAAGGGGTTCCCAGTCTTAATGACTCTCTGTGGCAGGCTTCTGAGGTAGCTTTCTGTGTGTGGGAAGTGGAAGGGAGAAATGACTTGTATTGCCAGTACACTCAAACAAGCTTGGATTTTAATGCAGCCTAAAGGGGTTAGAAAACCATTTTTCAATTTCTTTTAGTGGGTCTTGGATACCTAAGTGCTTTAGGCTACATTATAATCCTCAGTCACAGCATGAACATCTTTACACCTGGCTATGTTTCTTCTCTTAATTAAAAAAAAAAAAAAAAGGTACAGTGAAAAGACCAGACCCCAAACAAATGTTCAGGTTAGGTAATATCAACTGCACCAAACTGCCCAGTAACAAGCCAATTTGGCACATTACTTGCTCAGAAGGGGGAGGCAAAAATCATTCCTTTCGATGGACAGTCATTTTCAGCACTCAAAATGTGGGACAACCTTTTGTATAGTGCAGCTGTGCCTGGCATATCCTTGTGGTCCTGGAGGAGATGGATCATTATCTCCTCTCATGGCATAGTCTGAGATGAAGTTCTGCCTTGCCTAGTGCCAAAGGCGTGACCATAAGACTCCATCATAGGGAGGGGAAAGACAGTCATCATAGGCCTCTTTGAGAACAGGATTTGAACTCAGAGAAGTAATATCAGAGAAACAAAATACAAATCTTGAGAAATCAATTTGATGAATAAAGCTTTGATCAGAAGTTTTTGTGCTATTCATTTGGTATGTTATGGACACTGGCAAAATTAAGTGCTTGGGTTCCTTGTTCTGTCTTGGGAACAACTGAGCAAGGAATGAATCCTTGAGTGAACCTCCTCTGTCCATTCTAGGCAGTCGTACCCCAGGGAGAACAAACCCCAACAACATCTCAACATCTGAGAAACTTTCTTTGTAGACAGAAGAAAGGATAGGAAAAGAAAGGGTATACTTTGTTTACTATTATTGGTTTTAAAGGCATCTGTAGGCTCCTTGGAGGCCAAGAGGAGGAATTAACGCCTAACTCTTTCTGTATCCTGTCTGCTTTGTACATCTTTCAGTTTGAGACTAACAGTTGTGACTTGGAGGTCTCCTGTGGAATATCACAGCAAGTTCACCTACTCCTGATTATGATTCTTATACTTCTCTGCCCTTTGCTTTTCTTTGTATCGGTTACATAAAGCAAGGATGCTCTTAATACTTATTCATGCTGCTTCAGCCTCCCTAATCCAGTTTTTTCCAGCAAAAAGTCCTTTTTTTTTAGAGCAAATCCTGAACTAATTGCTAAAATGTTAATAATATAGCCAGTTGTGTCACCAAGCTACGCTATGAGTGCTCAGTTGTGAGTTACCCCGTCCTCTCAGATTCTCTCTTCTTTGCCCAAAGGCTCCTCAGTAAAATTCAGCTGCATAAACACCTTGCTGAAAACAGTATGGCTCATTTGACTGTCACCTCCACTCAACACAGTACACTCTTAACTTTGGTGTTTATGGTCCATAGGCTTATCCTAAAATCTGTTTTCCTGAATAAAACATTTAGGTCTCATACATTGAATTGTCCAGTCCATTGGGCATATTTGAGTAGGAAAAATCTGCAAAACTTGATTTGAGGAAGAGTTTTGGTTTTTTGTTTTCCATTTTTCTTTGCTTTGCAGGAATGGATATAAAGATTAGGTCTAGTGAATTGAAGAAAACTGCCCAAAATAATAAACAGATTTGCTTAAGCAATACTGTGTGGATCTAGGATCATATAATTGGTCTGTGTTAAGCCCTATACTCTCCAGACATTAGAAGAGAAGAGTGAGAAACTTAACATGGCCTTCCAAATGCTTTAGAGAGCAATAAGAATGTGGCTAGTGCAATAAACATGACATCTGCGGAACAGTTAGCAATAGTTTTTACTCATTCTTTATACGATTCAGCCGGGATTTGTATGTGTGCAGAGAAGAGACAAGGAAACTGTCATTTATCCTTGTAATATTTGTGGTTTCCTCCTGTGCAAAAGAAAACAAAGTAACCAGTAGCCTTAAAGGAATAAATCACATTTCTACTTATGTGGACACGACTGAAAATTCTGTATGATACATTTTGTTTTGGAACAAAATCTCCAAGCACAAAAGGGTTGTGTGTGCACAGTGCAGCAAATGCAGAAGGCCTGATTCTTGTCCTCAGAGGGCCTCTAAAATAAGTGAACTAACATTTACTCTCCTGTAAAGAATATCTAAGAATGGCTAAAGAGAAATTTGAAAGTATTTATTTCTCTGAGAAAAGTATCATAAAATTAGCATGAAATAAATGTGTCTCATGCATACTGTCTATAGTTCAATTACTCTAATTTGAATGCAGTATTTCTGCTATTAGTGTTCCAGGAAGAAAACCCTAGTGTTGCAGAACACTAGGGTTTGGGTGAGGTTGCTTTTTAGACTGTTACTGCATTCTGTTAGTTCGCAGAAATCTTACTTTATTAATTTATGAAAAAAAAATAGATACTCTTCTGCAAGGGCTTGTCAAATGATGTAATCTCTTATCTCATACACTTTGATATAGAACCAACTTTTACAGAAGAATAATAACTTCTTTCATACTACTTTTGCAGGAGAATCACCAATAAAGCTAACATTTCAGAGTCTGCAAATACTGATAACTCCTGAACCACAATTAGATTTCCTAGCAGCGATTGAAATTGAAGTATCTTCAAAAGGAAAATATGGGAACTGCCCAAAAAAAGCCTATGATAAGAAAAATGGTTATATTTTCATAGAGTAACAATTGTAATTATTATTCTCAGAGACCACCTCTTATGGGAAAAGCACCTTCATTGTAACACTGTTAGCAATTTCATTGGACAGATGCAAAGCTAGATAGCTTGTAGAGACTAAACTGCCCTCTTGCATAGTTCCATACAGGTCTGGTCTTCAGGAAGAAATGCAATTGTATTTAACAATTGTAATAAATAGCACATCTGTGACCTGAACTCATGTTTCTTGCTACAACAACCATTTACAGGTACCATGTCAGGTTGGGAAGTCATTCATAAATTCTGACCCAAGTCATATCCCTTCAGCCAGCAGGCCTGGTGCTGAACATGACTCATTCCTGCTATCTGGACTCATCAGCAGGTTAACTCACCTGCTGTTGGGATTGGGGTGTTATTTATGCTTTGTACTATGGCAACAAATAGGAAAAAAAACCAAAACCAACGTTTTTGGTTTGATTTTCTCATGTATTTGGTGATATGCAAACATACAATAAAGAAATTAATGTTTCTCCCAAATGAATTTGCAGTTTTAATGCCAGACAGGAGAGTAGATAAGCCAAAAAAGAGAAGAATGGCAAAAAGAAAGTGTCACATACAACTTTTTAGTCCTTTCATAAAAATAGAGACCTTTAGTTCCCAGGGCTGTCCATCTGTCATCTTTTACCACTTTATGTATTGGCATATAATATATAATTTTTTTTTTTAAATTGTGGATTCATATTTCTACCTCTAGATTGAAATTCATGGCTTTCATTACTGTGAAGACTCACCAATGAGTGAATGTCCCTTTTCTCTCCTTTTCAGGAGGAACAGCTTCCAGACAGAAGGGCTTTTTGGGATGCATTAGATCTCTGCATTTAAATGGACAGAAACTTGACCTTGAAGAGAGAGCTAAAATGACACCTGGTGTTAAACCTGGATGTCCAGGGCATTGCAGCAGTTATGGTAACCTGTGCCATAATGGAGGTAAATGTGTGGAGAAGTATACTGGTTACTTCTGTGATTGTACCAACTCAGCCTATGAAGGACCTTTCTGCAAGGAAGGTAGGCAGCAAGCTTTGATTCTAATCTTCAACACTGTTTCACTGAAGCACAGTTTCACTCATGTCAGCTCGGTGTCCCCTGTATTACAATACATTCTATTATCAGCTGTCCCTTCAGCGTTACTAAGAGTTTATCTGAAGCAGGCTACAAGACCTTTTTTTGACTTCAGTGTTGGCCTCAGAATTGAAAATGATGTCAGCTGTACTCGTAAAATTTACAACTATTTCCCGCTATGATTCCTGTATTCAGTTGCATATAACTTGCCCCAGACATAAACAAATAGGGCTGAATTTTTTCATACAGGTGTTTGCCCATGTCTGAACATTTAGTTTAGTTGTTCTTAAACCTCATCCCATTTTGTCCACCTTAAAAAAATCTTGAGAGTTTTTCTTTACAAAGTTTTAGAGCAATGATGTGACAAAAAGAGGTAGTCTTTTTATGTTCTTTTGCCATTTCTGTGACAACCCATCCAAACGTTAAGAAATTTTTAAAATAAGCATGAAGCGCTCAGGAGAAAACTGATTTGCATGGTTCAGTCTTTGGTGAATGTGTCCTCACTGAACCCTTCTGGTGGCTTGTAGAAGATGCTGTCAACACCAGAAAAATGAGCAGGGCAAATAAGGAACCTTTAATTTAGAGAGCATGCTTTTTGAAACTAACAAAATTCCTTCTCAGTGACAGCAATATGCAGTATGAATTTTTAATTTCCATGGCTGCCCCTCACCTCACAAATGTGAGGGGTTTGCTAAGTAGGTTGCATCATCTGTTGCTGTAAATTGGCTTAGCTGTTATCATGGTTTAGGAGTGGTGTTCTCCAATTTATTTTTCCCACTGAAACCACTCCGAACTACTTGCTCTCAATCACTCCCCCCTCTCTTTCATTCTCCCTCCCCTGCAGTGGACTAGAAAGGAGAATTCGAGGCACAAAAGGTAAAGATACAGGTTGAGATAAGAACAATTTACTGGAAACGACAATGAGATTTAAAACTGAAAAGTGACATTAACAATACAGGGTACAAGAAAGAAGCGAACAATTTACGTGGAAACTCCCTGACAATACTCCCCATGCTACACTGACCCGGAAGGGACCTCTTCCCCCATCCCCAGAAAATTATGTGAGTTGGCATAGAATAACCTCTGGGTCCTGGCCATGCCCCCTCCTGGCTAATGGAAAAATAACCCTGTCCTGGCTAGAACCGGGGCAGTTGTACCGCAGTCCATGGAACTATGCTCCCTCACGCAAGCTGAGGATTTGGCACGGATGCCACAAGAGGCATACCAAATACCCACATATTGTCCCATTAGGAGACGCTGTTGTAGAGGTGAAGCTGCTCTACTGGAGAGTTACCATCCTGACTTTACTGAAAAAAACTCTGCTGTTATCCCATCTGTGTCATTCATGGCCAGACTATGTTATCTGTATTGAAAACAGAAGCAAGAATTCTCAGGATCTGAGCATCTATAGGTAGATGTTCCTCTTCATTTGATGCTACCAAAGATAGCTTTCCTTACTGGCTGTCTTTGGTCAATGTGTTGTTTTAATAATGAATTTGTTTAAAAAGGAGACTGGAAAAAACAAATACGTTGTCTTTACTGTTGGAAGGGAAGACAGGGAATATTGCCTTACAGAGAATATTCAGTTGTCAGAATGTGGTGAACTAAGCATTTATTTGGCTGACAGACATTTCAGGCTGTTCCCTCTTGTGGAGCTCTGATTCTAACTCTAAAATTGTTGAATTTATATCTCCATTCGCTATCCTTCTCTGTGCCAGACAAACTGACTGTAAGGAAGGACATACTGGTTATCCAAATGAAGGAATACTGTTGTTATCTGGGTCAGGGGTATTTTGCAATGTTCTGTTTCTGAGGTAGTCAGCTCATGTCCATTCCTTCCTGGGAGATTTTAAAATGGAGTAGTTGAAATTATTCCCTTGGTTTACATATGTTTTCAGAGGTTTCTGCATTATTTGAAGCCGGCACTTCCGTTACCTATATTTTCCAAGAACCTTATCCTGTCACAAAAAATGCAAGCACCTCAAGCTCTGCCATTTATGTGGATGCTGTCATGTCCAAGGAGAATATTGCATTTAGCTTTCTCACAGCACATACCCCAAGCCTTCTACTGTACATCAACACCTATTTTCATGAATATTTGGCCGTGATTCTCTCCAAGAATGGTAAGTAGTCTTGATTTGCTACCAAAGTGAGACCAGTGTAACTTTGTAAAGGTTTTGTTGCTTTGATTTTGGTTTGTTTGTTTTCTGGTTTTTGGATTTTTTGTGACAATAGGATAGAATTCTGCACTGATTAATTTTTGTGTCTGCAACTTTATCAACTTCATGATATTTGGTTCATGAAAATGACCATCACTCTTGTTTATGTCCCTTTATTTGGCGTTTGGCTACACTTGCTTGTTCAGTCTTTGAGTAATCATTTTGTTGGGGCTTAAAATGTACTTTGACTTTCATTTGACTAGACTATGTAATAGCAATTCCTAGCTATTTGTTCCACATTGTGATCCATTAGGCCACCAAGATAAGGGAATGAGAAATACCGTGTATGTACAAGAACACTTGGTACAGAAATATATTAGAATTTTATCTTTCTTGGCACATATATTGCTCTTCACTGGATTTTTTCAATGTAATATGGTCAGTACATCTAAATATTAAAGCCAGAAAATGTCAACGTTTTCTAGGTTTACTGACCAAAACAGGAGGTGTAAATCCATTTTCTGTTAAAAGGTACATGAGGTGGGGATTTTATGAAAACATTTAAAGATTTTAGGGGCTCAGGCCCTGTGTCTTCTCAGAAAGACACTGACTCCTGAGTCCTTGCAGTGCTTTCAGAAAAATCACTCCAGACAAACATCATCCTAGGCAAATGGGAATGTTTGAATTATTCAAGAGTTATCAGGCACTGGAGCACTGGAAGTGATGAGTAAGCTTATTGGTGAGTCAGTAGCCTGTGGCAGAACAATAGAAAGTTAATGTCATGTGGTTGAATATGTACATTTGACCGAATGACCCAGACCACTCTGAAGCCTTTCAAATTCCAAAATACTAGGCTTTCAAGTACTGTCAAATGAAACTATAAAAGGGGAAAAAAAACCAAACAAAAAAACCCCAAAAAAACCAAACAATCAAAACTGGTTTTATTCTCTGTATGGATTTTGCAGTAGTTTCTCTTGGTTATGTTATGTGGCTAGCATTCAGGCTGGCAAGGGATGAGTATCGTAATCCCTGGGAGAGGCAGCTGGAATAGTAACTGCCTGAACCAATTTACTCCAAGTGAAGTTGTGCCAAGGAAGTGGGACTACTGAGGTAACCCTAACCCTCTCCTGTCCAGTCCCAGATTTCCACCTGTAATTTGCTCTTGGAGACAAGTGTTTATGATTTTCGGCTATATGAATATTTTAGTGTGTAGCTCCAGGGTGGTCGAGGTTATACCTTGCTGAGGTGAAACCTTGGAATCTGCTTCTCAGTTACACTCAGGTCTCTTGATGCCACTCAGGCAATCAGAAATAGCCCTAAAGTGAATGAAAATGTAATATCCATTTAAGTCACCTTTATTGCTGCCAGAGTAGTCTAAAATGACCTTAGAAACATGAGCCAATTGACTTTTATTGATGAAATGCACTATACATAAGCTATAATTGAGAAGTTCTGGAAGTAGGGGTTTTAGTGTTGGTTGGAGAAGGGGTTGGGATCAGGACATAGCTTGTAGCAGCTCAGCAGGAGAAGAGATTAACCTTTCTTTGTGTCAGCTGCAGCTTCTGCAGATCTCTACTTTGGCTTAGTTGGAGTCAGGGATTCAGTACATCTTGAAATTAAGTGGAGCAGCTTTCAGCACAGTCAGGCAATATAAACAATGGTGCTTTTTTCAGATCTGTACCTCCTTTTACTCACCTGTAATATGATGGTGACAGTTACTCAGAGGGCTGGTGAGATGTCAGGCTCCACAATTCTGGGCTATGAAACATAGCACTATATACAAAAAATGATTAAGATAACTAGCTGACTTTAGTTAAATCCTGAAAGTCTCCTTCAGGATTACTCTGTGCATGCTTCTGTGGCTTTCTTTCAAGACAGTCATTCAATCATGTATATTCTCTACCTTTTGTCCCAAATGTAATAATTTGTTAAATTTCATGTCCTTTTACTTTTTAGCTTTTGGAAGTGAAATTATTTCAGTGAAAATAAGGTTCAGATATGTTACTCTTTCTTCCTCCAAGAGGTTTATGCTTGCCATAAAGTTACTGGACTATGAATATCAATGTCCTTTGTAGCACTGAAAGTGAGTGTGATTCCATCTCTCTCATTGGCTCATTTTCAAGGAATCTTGCCGAGTATAGTAGGACATAAGCAGGTCCCTTCTGGATAACTGATTTGTTAAATAAAGGTTAAGTTCCTGGAGAAATGGGAATGGGCATTCTCAGTTAAGAGGTGAGCAGCAATATTCTTTACCATAATCCCAAGCCCCTTTCCTCTTGTTAAGAAACAGTATTAAAACAGTCTATGTATACTTTAATACTTCTCCTTTTTGAACAGTTTTTCAAACTAATACTCATGTATCCTCTTTTATCCTTATGTTATTCCTCTTTTCTATTATCCGCAAAATAACTGGGCAAATTATTAGTTAATAAAAGAGATAATGAGAATAATGTTTCTTGTATTTCAGACTTCCTGTGTTAAATATTTAACATAAAAGAAATTAAAGTATTTACAAGGATTATTCATAGTTAGAGTATATTAAAAGGGCTTATATGAAAGTGGACTTGTATAGGCAACTGTGGTCTAATACAGTCACGTGTGAAGAATTTCCTGTAAAATTATTTGGTTCCAATAAATTTAATAAATAGGTACATTTAACCCCAACATTCTTTGCACTGTCAGTCTCTAAAGAAGGTCATATTATTAGAAGAAACAGTATGTATCAATTGAAATACCAGAACTCTGGTAGTGAAATTATTCCTTTAGAGTTACCCAACCTGCCAATGTCAGGTCTGCAAAAGGAGACTCAAAGCTACTCCTCCTGGCTTCACCTATCAGATCAATGCTGCCCACACAGAAAGCTCTTCCAGTGCTTGGAGCCTTAGAGGGCAGGGGGTTCATGGAGGAGGTAAGGTTATGACAGATGTTGGGTACCGCCATATGTCAATGCAGAAGCTACAATTCTGCACCCATTCAGATGACTTAATATAAAATGAGATGCTCAGTAGTTCCTGGCTGATAATATTTCTAGAAGCAGTTCCCAACCAAAGAACTCATCTATATCACAGAGGTTGTTCTTAACTCTGATCAGTTGACTCATGTCCTGGCAGTTTAAGGGTAAGTTTTTGAAAGTTGATGTTTTTAAAGACGACTTAGGGATTCCTTCCACCATTAGTTAATACTGATGCTTCTAAATCATACCTGAGCTTTTGAAAATTATGTGCATATAAGAGCATTATCCTCTCCAGTCTTACATATTGTACTTATGGATTTTTAAATTACACCTACATATATATGTGTACATATTGTGTATAGATAGGGGTATATCTATCTATCTGTCCATCTATCTATCTATTTATCTATTAATCCATACACATGTATATAGATGAGTATGTATGTAAAGCTTACATAGTCCCATTGTTCCCGCATCCAAAAGATTAGCAGTACTGTAATGATTGGCAGGATTGGCAGTGCCTTTTTAATATTATTTCTGTAGAAATTTCAAATTACAGTGCCTCTTACTAAGCTACAGAAAATTGGTAAACAGCTTTAATTAGCCTTTTCAGTGTGCCAGTCCACAGAAATTATCCACATCATGGGAAGATACTACCAAGAAAAAAATATTTTTTCTTTCCCAGGCTAGTTTTTCTCTGTACATTTTTGCATTTACATGATTTCACAAAGTTATTATATTTCACAAAGTGCCATTATATTGTTATTTTTGCCTTGTTCCCTAAAGGTAATAATTGATGGGGGAGAAAAATGTTAAGAAAGAAACTGCTAGTGCTTCTCCTTTCCCCACTCTTCCTCCTGCCCTGCAAGTAAACGAATGTGTTATGAATATGATGAAGTACTTTGTCTAGAAAATGTTTTCGCAAATATTTGATTCTCAGTTTTGTTGGCTTTCTCCATGGAAACAATATGAATCCTAATCTAGAAAAACAGCAGATAGCCAGCATCAAAGAAGAGAGATAGAATCTCAAACTATCCTAGAGTGATTGAAAATTTATCTGTATTTACTATCTGATCTCATAAGAAACTAAACAATTTGAGTCCTTTTTTTTCTTCCTATCCAACACCTATCGCCATCACACTGAGCTCTGTTCTCCATTTCTTTTGGAAAGCAAGACTCTGAAGTTGCATAGGAAAGATTACAGACAAGGAAAAAAGCACAGTTAAAAACAGAAGTACAAATGAAAACAACTTGAGTAATGCTTATGTTAGATCTCTAATGCTCAGCATATAGTAGCAGGGCTTATATCAGCTCCACTTCCCTATAAAGTCTTGAAATCAGCTGATATTTGAAGTAAATAGGAAAAGAAATAAAAATGTGTAGCAGAGGTAAGCTGAATTAACACTCTACAAAAAAAGAAGCAAATATTGTCAGTGAGAAGCTATTGATTTTTTTTTTAATAAACTCAAAATCTCCTGTAGTCACTTGTCTCTAAGTCAGAAGCAACGTTTTTGTTGAAAGCATATGAATTCTCCTTATGATTTTTGCTTTCAAGTCTGTTGAGCTGCATCTCTACCAGCCAAAGCTTTTGTCAGTCAGTGGTAAAGAGAGGCAAAAAATCTAGTTCAGTCTTTTAGGCAAAGAATCTTTTGATTCTGTTCATGCTGTACACTCTGAAGTTCAATGGAGCAAAACTAAAATAATTAGGTAAAATAGGACTCACCGAAAGACTGAGATGGATCTGGGAAGTTATTTTTCTTGTTCTTTTTCTTTACCCCCTTGTGGGTTCTGGTTTTGGGACGTGGATACCACAGGACCTTAACTAACTGCTACCAAAAGACCCTCTAGACTACGTTGTTACTAGTGCAATTGTCTTCCCTTTTGAGAACACCTTATGGCTTACAGACTCTCAATAGCCATTGAACAGCCTGCACAATTTATGTGACTGAAGTGGAAAATGATACCAAGGTTCAGGTATAGTTATTTTTAACAGATCAGGAGCAAGAAAGAT